CTCTTGGGAGCTTTTTGGGGTAAACCCAAAGTCCAAAACCCTCAGTCCTAAACCCTACGCCCTAAACCCTAAACCCTTAACCCCTAAGCCCCTAAACCCCTAAACCCCTAAACCCAAAAAAACCCTAAACCCCTAACTCCTAAACCCTAAACCCTAAGAAACCCCTAAACCCCTAAACTCTAAACCCTAAGAAGCCCCCCGAAGGTTCCGAACCGGGGTTGTTTGACGTGGTTTTTCAACTTCGGAAGCTGGCACTGGAGAGAGCGATGCTCTATCAGAAATGTGGCCGATATCAATTAGAGGGTTTAGGGGTTTAGGGTTTTGGGGGTTTTGGGGTTTTGGGATTTTGGGGTTTTGGGCTTAGGGGTTTAGGGTTTAGGGGTTAGGGTTTGCCAATCCACACGTCAGCCCTGACTCCCTGCAAGCAAGCCGAGATGCCTCCAAGGGTAGGTTTCTGGCCCTAAAGTCTAAACACTAGCCCTTAAACCCTAAACCCTAGCTGGCACCTGCATGGCACAAGGTTATCTCATCTTCGATGAGTCGCGCCATCGAGACAGCCTGGGTGCAGTTCGGGCATCGGGAGGCCGTCCGATGTTTGTTTAGGTCTCGGGGTTTAGGGCTTAGTGTTTGGGGTTCAGGGTTTTGGGTTTTGGCGGAGAATGTATACTAGCTAGGCAGGCCTGTGAGATGTTTTGTACATTCTCCCTTACGGGGTTTAAGAGCTGGATACTGCCCTTGCCCAGCAGCAGCTGAATATTTTGTATAATATGATAAGCCCTTATATCAAGGGGAAGTACCCATATTAAAACCCTAAACCCTGAACCATAAACCCTAAACCCTATTTTAAAGTAAGTTTCAGAGGCTTTAAAGGGCCAACCTGTCTTAGTAAACGGCGTAAGGGGCTCCTGCCCTGCTCTTTCAGGGTGTAGGGTGTAGGGTTCAGTGTTTAGGGGTTCAGGGTGTAGGGCTTAGGGTCTATAGGGGTTTAGCGTGCAAGCTAGGGGTTCAGAGTTTAGGGTTTAGGCACTGGGAGGAAGAATCGCACAACCCTTAAACCCTAAACCCTAAACCCCTAAACCCTAAACCGCAACTCCTTAAACCATACACTTCTAAACCCTAAACCCTTAAACCCTAAACCCCTCAAGCCCTAAACCCTTAAACCCCAAACCCTTAAACCCTGAACCCCTAAACCCTAAACCTTAAACCCTTAAACCCTAAATCCTTAAACCCTATACTTCTAGACCCTCAACCCTTAACCCCTTTAACCCCTTTAACCCCTGAACCTTAAACCCTTATCCCCTAAATCCTTAAATCCTATACTTGTAGACCCTAAACCCTTAACCCCTTTAACCCCTGTAACCCTAAACCCTAAACCCTTTAAACCCTAAACCCTTAACCCCTTTAACCCCTGTAACCCTAAACCCTAAACCCTTTAAACCCTAAACCTTTAAACCCTATACCTGTAGACCCTCAACCCTTAACCCCTTTAACCCTGTAACCCCTAAACCCTAAACCCTTTAAACCCTAAACCTTTAAACCCTATACCTGTAGACCCTCAACCCTTAACCCCTTTAACCCCTGTAACCCCTAAACCCTAAACCCTAAACCGCCTCACGCTCCAAGACCGAAGCTCCACTTCCCAACATCCCCGAGCCTCGGCACTCTGACTTGAAATCAGGGTTTAGGGTTTAGGGTTCAGGAGTTTAGGGTTCAGGGTGTAGGGTTTAGGGTTTAGGGTTCAGGGTTTAGGGTTCAGGGTTTAGGCCTTCAGGGTTGAGGCTTCTCTAGTCCTGCATTACCTTAAGGACCCCTAAGCTATGGGAGTTACGGTATATTCCTTACTATGGGTAATGCAGGATTGATATCATCAACTGTGGCTCTCTAAGTTCGGGTCTCTTTCAGGAGTCCGCTAAGGGGTTCTATAGGGGTTTGGGTTTGGGGTTTATGGGTAGCTCTCTAAATTAGGGCCCCTTTTAGGGTCCTTTTCATAAGGCTGGCGTACTACTTGGGGGGACCTAAAAAGGGTCCCTAATTTAGCCAGCAATAGAGTCGATTCTGGCTGGAAGATGCTTACAGGGGTGGGGCATCATCAATACATAGTACCCATTCGGCACTTCGTCTGCACCCTATGCTCCCCGCTAGGATGAGGATGGTTACGGTGATGGTAGTTGAAAGAATGGCGGGGGCTGGCGATGGAGGTGGCAGTGATTTTGATAGTACACAAGACGACGAGGATGGTCCTAAACCCTAAACCGGCTGTTGCCTGGGACAGGTGCATGTGATCCCACACATTGGCGGCCGAGCTGCACATTGAGATCTTAACGGTGTTCACAATCGGGGACTAATCTAAGTTACCACAAGAGTGGCAACTTAAACCAGGGTCCTTAACAAGAGCCCAGTCATCGGGTCGCAAGTCAGGCGATTAGGAACAAGACACCCTTATGCGGCTTTCAGCCGCTGGCACTTCAGAAGCTGATCCTCGGCTCGAGACAGCTCACAACCGCTCCTCCCGGGGGGGGCCTTGATAATTAGAACAGGGTTTCGGGGTATAAAACCCCACTTTCAATAGGATTTTGGGGTATACCATAGTAAAAAGTAACCAAGGAACCCACGAAATAGTATAGGTACTTACTTATTAAGGCCCCTAAGATTACATACAGAGGCGCACTCGGGGCCAGGAATTTTCGCTCTTAGGACTTCGGAAAAAGGCAATCAGGCCGAGGGCTTCGTAACAATGTACATATTCTTATATGGGGGGGGGGGGGGCTGTTTACACTTAGAGTAGAACATACCCCAAAACCCTATTCTTATTATTAAGGCCCCTATCTTTATATCTTGGAGTCCGGCTGTTGAGTTCATCACCAGTTTTGAGTCTAGCACCCTCTTGAACGTCAGGTTTCGCGCAGGTGTCTGAGGGGCTTCGGGTGGCAAGCAAGGAGAGTCGCTTTGGCTTGGTTTAGGGTTTAAGGTTTAGGGTTTCGTTTTCTTTTTTTGCTAAAGGGCCAGCAAAGAGGATTTATGACACCTAGCTAGAGCCCAACTCACTGAAAACAAGACCCAAAGCCCTAACCCCGAAATCCTGTTTCGATGAGGTGAGGAGCATCGCGGTCTCGCCGCGACAGCCGTGAAAGTGGGTTATGGTTTAGGCTGGTTCATTTTGTGTCGAGGTTTCCGTCAGGCGCACAGCGAAATTTGCTGGACAAGCATGTTTGTGATGACGAAGACATCATATCGCAACAATGACGAAGATGATGGGAAAGTCTGCCACATGCATGCGCATCACCACGTTTTTTTCCTGAGCAGCCTGTGCAAGACTGGCAGCAATAGTTCGTAGGTGGCTGCAGCACAATGCCCACTCCCACCACCACCGCCGCCACCAGCACCAGCAGCAGCAGCAGCAGCAGCGGCAGGAGCAGAATCGCCAGCTTTTCAATCATCATCATCATCGTCATCATCACCATCACCATCACCATCACAGTCGCCATCACCATCATGATCATCATATCAGCAGAACCCTCACGACTCCCACGTCTTCGTCGGAGTTGTAAAGCAGAGCCAACTGGGAGCTATCATCCCGGCATCCGCAATTCTGAATCGTTTGCTACAGTATACGCTTTCCATCCATGGGACAAATCCAAAGCTAATCTCCACCCCAGAACCTTTAACCTCAAGCCCTAACCCTGAACCCCTAAACCCTAAACCCTAACCCCTGAACCCCAAGCCCTAAACCCTTAACCTCAAGTCCTCAACCCTAAACTCCAAACCCTCCACGGCTCCGGCTCTTCTGGAGACTGCTTCCAGGGCTGATCAATGATCTGGACAACACCCCTATGGAGCAGAAGGCGGGTTTAGGGTTTAGGGGCAAGATCCATTCCGAGAACTTATGCGGGCAACCTTTGTTATAGCAGAATGTAGGGCCCTGAATTCCAGGGTTTAGGGTGGCTAACTTACTGTGCCTGAGGTGTCATAACTCTACGATATTGTATTATAACGATGTACGCCCAAACCACCTAAACCCATCTAAACCCCTTGAAATCACCGAGACTGCTCCTACCGTGCTCCCGCTGCTGCTGCCACTACCGATGACATTGTAAGCACGAGCAGACAGCACTGCACGCACATGCAGGATCAGCTGGCCATGCTACGGGGGTACTACCCCGACATCAAGGTGGACTATCGCCGCTTCAGTGGCATCGCCGGAGGGCCCTATCCGAATTTAGTTGTTGAGATGTTGAGAATCAAGCAGAGCAGGGTAAGAAGACCAAGAGGCAATGATTGTCAGATTTTGGAAATGCTGCTTCCTGGTGTTTTCAGGTCACTGTGAGAAGGCTTGCACCGCCGACGTTCTAGTCATGGTTTGGGGCAGCTTAGAGCTTAGGGTTTAAGCCAGTAGTGAAGATTCATGACTTTATCCATAGTAGCAACAGGACTTTCGGGAACTGCACCCTTCGACAACATGGTCTGAAAGTTTCTGTTGCTCTAAGCACCAGCAGCCCAAGAGCCCACACACTCTTGCCCCTTTCAAACTTGAAAATCAACAAGAGTACTGATACCAATAGCAACAGAAATAGCGAAAACTAGCCAGAGCAGAAAGACTCAAAATGGCGACAAGTAACAATTACAATAGCAGCGGTCATGCTAATCCTACTTTTATAATACTATCAAAGATGATCGCAGTATTAAGCGTAACAAAAAGAACAACAAGACAACCCGTTATAATATAGGTAATAGACATAGTAATTCCAGCGCCACTAGTTCTCATTCCAATAACAAAGGGCAACAGCAATAACGATAACACTGACCGTGGCACTATAACAGCAGCAGCAACATCAGCAATCCTCAACCCCCTAAACCCCTAAACCCCTAAACCCTGACCCCTAAACCCTAAACCCAAAGCCCGTAAACCCTAAACCCTAAACCCCAAACCCCTAAACCCCTAAACCCTAAACCATTCAATCACGAAACCAAAGCCTTAAGAGAGGAGTGCTAGCAGCCCAGGTCTGCGCAATGATACGGCAGACAAGCTACATTCCTCTGATTGGGATGCCTTTGAGGTGAGTCCTGTGGCTAAGGGTTTAGGGCTTCAGGGTTTAAGGGTTCAGGGGTTAAGGGTTTAGGGTTCAGTGGCAGTCCAGTCACTTGTTTGTGTTCTTGTAAGGGAATTTAATTGGGACTTTGGGGTTAAGTTACCACTATAGGATCTGTAGTAAATAATAGGGTTTCCTGCTTATGGTAACTTCTTTAACACACTTTTGCTGCTGGTTGTTGTCACTATTGGGACTTGGGATATTACCCTGCTACTGTGACACTGTCTTTTGTAGGCCGCCCCTCCCCCAAACATTAGGCGACACGCTCAGCCCAGTTTGTCCCCCTCCCCCCTACCCTTCGACTGATTTTTTTTGGGGTGACCCGAAACCCTTCAAAACTAAGCGAGGCTCTGAACTGTAGGCCCGTAACTCGAATTGACTTGTAAAGTCTGTAAACCCAGAACCCAGATACACGAAGCCTTCTACAAACTCTCAGCACCCATAAATTCTCAAGTCTTACTTTCCTAACGATTAACCCCGTAACCCCCCAAACCGCCCAAAATCCTTAAGACGCGAAGCCCTAAACCTCCAAACCCTATGGGTTTAGGGTGTTAATGCGTAAACCCCAATCCCAGAATCCCTAGGGCCCTTGGACAGAACAAAAGTCAAAGCCTTCCTTTGCGCAACAGACGTGACATCCTATGTACTATAGGCGCCTGAACAGTTCGAATAATATAGGAGCCTTAGTAATTAGAAAAGGGTTTGGAGGGTATGTTGTACTATAATTACCATAAGGAACCCCCAAAGCCCTATTCTAATTATTCAGGCCTCTACATTAGGGTTTTGGGGGTGTATATTAAAGCATAATCATAATAAGGAGCCCCACAAGACCTCCTGAATTATTAGAATAAGGCTTTGCGGGCTCCTTTTTTTAGTACAGCCATAAATGATGTTGGTATAAACCTTAAACCCTAAACCCTAAGAATAATTATTTAGGCGTCTACCTTTGGTTTTGGGGTTTAGCGTTTACTGGCGTTGGGGTATTCCGGCCGTGGTTGACGGTTTAGGGTTTAGGGTTTAGGGTACGGGATCTGTCTGGGTTCATAAGGGCTGTAGGTTTAGGGTTTAGGGGTTAGGGTTCCTTGTGCGGGGTTTCGCATCATGCCTTGATATAGTTTTAAGCGAGTATCATAGGGGCTAACGACAGTTAAGGAGGGTTTGATAACGGTGCTACAGCAGGTTAAAGCCGGCTGTTTCACGGAGCCCCTAGTTAAAGCCCTACCCAAAGCCGCGTGACCTGCCCCCTCGTTTTTTGCTGTTGTGTGCGCGAGGCGTTTCTAGCGAAGCGCCTGCTGCCGGAGCTCGAAGCAAAGAATCCGAAAGATAGCTGCGTTGATGCACGGATTGCATACAGGGCTTCTAGGGTGTTCAAGGGTTCTTTCAAATCCAAGTTTACATGAGTGTCCGCGGTTATTTCGTCTTCTTGTGTTAAGAGTACATGATTATAATACGTGTTTTGCTAGCTTTACTTGGGGAACGAGATAGGGTCCGCAGTTAAGGGGTTAGGGTTTAGGGTTTGGGGTTGAGGGTTTAGCGTCTAGAGTTTAGGGGGAAATCTGAAACGCTCCACCCCCTAACCCTTATAATGTAGGGGCCTAGATAGTTACCTATACTATTTTGGGGGTTCCAATTTATAATCATAGTGTAATGGGCTCCCAAAACCCTGTCAAAATTATGAAGGCCCGTACATTAGAACCCGGAGGAGGCGCAGCAAAACCGTATGTGGCCATGGACGGCCACTAAACACTGTCTGAAGCACCATGAAGCACGACGGCTTAGGGTTTAGGGACTTTGTGAAGTCTAACTAAAATGGTTTAGGGTTTAGGGGTTTAGAGCGCGACAACGCCTCAAAAAGCCCCAAGTCCTAATGCAGAGTCCTTTACAAAACCCTTGTGGAGCTCTTCTAGAAGCTATGCGGAGCGCGATACATTGGGAGTCATCCCCTTAACCCAAAAAAACCTCGAAACCCAAGACCCTAAAACCCAAAGCCATAAAAGCCCGAAGCCCTAACCCGTTTAAACTGTTAAACCTTAAACCACAAAGCCCTAGACCCTAAACCCCAAACCCCTAAACCCTACAGGATTAAGCCCGAAAAAGGCTATACCTTGGGAGTTGGCACTCACTCGCTCTTCTTGCGCTACTCGATCGGCCGGCGTGCAGTGCCTCGCCGGTGAGATGGGCGAAGCTCTAAGGTTCAGGGTTTAGGGTTTAGGGTTTAGGGTTTTAGGGTTTAGGGTTTAGAGTTCAAGCGGTCTTCGGGGGTGGAGGGGGGGGGTGTGGTTGAGGTTGGGGGTTGATGTGTGAAGGGCTTGCGGGTTTAGTTACAGGGGTGAAGTGAGAGGGGTCCGGGGGTTTGTTAAGGGCGAGGAGTTGGGGGTTGGGGTTCCAAGATCTCAAGCTGTAAGGTTTGACAGGCATCCAAAAGCCTCCTGTGAGAGGCACAAGGGCCAGACTGATCCAAAACAAGAAACGCCTTAAACACTAAACCCTAAGCACTCCCAAATCCCTAAACCTCTAGTCTCAGCCCCAGCTCTAGAACAATTCGAACTCCTACCCTAACGTAGGGGCCTAAATAATTACCAATACTATTGTGAGGGCTCCTTACTATAGTTTTAGTATTATATATATATATATATATCTATAATATACCCCCAACCCTATTCCAATTATTAAGGCCCCCCTATATAATACCCTGGCAAGACTGGGCCAGTCTCTCGTCGCCCGGAAGCCAATAAGGTTCAGGGTTTAGGGTTTAGGGTTTAGGGGTTTGGGGGTTTCGGGCTTTAGGGTTTAGGGGTTTAGGGGTTTAGGGTTTAGGGGTTTAGGGGTTTAGGGTTTAGGGGTTTAGGGGTTTAGGGTTTAGGGGTTTCGGGCTTTAGGGTTTAGAGTTTAGGGTTTAGGGGTTTAGGGGTTTAGGGTTTAGGGGTTTAGTAGAGTTTTGGGTTTAGGGCTTAGGCGGGCCCAGGGCACCCTAAAATCAAGCCCCTTGTGTGATGGAGACCCCTGATTGCGAAGCCTCGTTTCTTAAGGGCTGCAAATTTGAAGACTTTAAGGTCCCGGCTGCAGTCCTCATTACGGGAGGGGGGTTATGCACCATAGGCGTGCCCTTGGCATGAAACACAGGGCGGGATGTTCGAGTGCGGACGAAGCACAACACCCAAAACAGGCTAAGCTCCAATCACTGAGAAAGCCTTCTACTTCTGCAGCACATGGTCTTATTCTTGCTTTGACAAAGTGTTATTCTGGATATGAACCTAACAACGGCTTGTTCCGAAAGCCTGTACCCCGTAATTCCAGGAAGCTTAAGCTGCTCAAGAGTCATAGAAGTGCATGTTTTCAACAAGTGAGCTCCTAATGCACCCTAAACCCCAAAAGCTTGAGCTCTAAGCCCCAGAGGCCAAACCCGAAAAGCCACTAGTGTTTAGGGTTTTGTAGACCCTGAACCCTACACC